ATTTATTCATGCATTCATTCATTCAGTCATTCATATGTAAAACCCAAATTTTCAATGAATTATCACTAGTTTTTTAAAGCAACAAATCTATTTGACTCTTGAATTTGCATTACTGAAATTATTACTTTAACATGAACAGACCTAAAATGTTAAATATTTATAATGTATGACCTTCATAATAGTGACCCACTGTAATAATTTATTGTATTTGGGCCAAAACTCTTGTGTCATTTTTTTTATATTTTGCTGTCTCTTTCGAGCATCTGACCATTTGATTAAATTAATCTGATGATAGTTACACATGAGACTAACAAAAAGTCCTTTATACAATTTTAAAAACAGACTTTCAGTTGGTGGAAAGTCGCCACAGCTTTTGATCTCAACTTATAGAACTAAAGTCAGAGCTCTGAATCATTGCCTGCCCCTTACTTTTATTCTTCAAGGCCCATCAATGATTGATTCGCTCTGATTATCAGGCTGTTGAGGCTGAGGCTGGAGCGCCATACTGATTTCATAATGGGTTCATTTTGTACTTCCTGTTGCCCACAAGTTCCTGTCGTCACTGACATTAAAAACAAGCTACTGCAGAGGAAAAACTGCCTGCTGCGCACTCAGCAAACCATGATCTGATTTTCATCCTTTTATCTAAACATTTTCTGAACTTTTCTTTAATTCAGTGGTTTTATTTACATTCAAACTGAGTCATCTTTATGTATCATAACATAAAAATCCATTTTAATGCAGCCAATTTATGTTAATAGAAAATAGACTAAATTGAACTTTAAATGATTTATGATTTTAGTAATTTTCATTTGTATATAATTTCATTTTTCATTAGCTGATGGAAAATCTACTTTACGGTAATCTGAACTAAGTGAGAGATTGACCTTCTGGTGCTTTTGTTGTAAAATGAAACGCTGGAGAGGCTTTTTTATTCATGTTGTTAAACCTCAGGTTTATTTTTCACATCGGCACAAATCACCAAATATAAGGCTCGAGAGCAAAATAAACCAAGATTAGCTTTATTAATAACATAAGTGATTTAATGACTTATTCTCAATATTACAGATTTCTTAAAGTTACAAAACAGAAAATAGAGCAGCTTTCATATGCCCCATTATTATATCCTTTATTATAAAACCTTCACTTTGTGGGTTGTTTTAGTCAGAAGAGCTACACTGACCCTGAACACATTAAGACCACAGGTCATTTATTTATCTAACTTCCTGTCTGTTACATAACTGAGCTCACTGAAATGTTTTGTCAAGGATTACAAAAATAAAATAAAATAAATATGTGATTCTGGTGAATTTTGAGTTTGAATCATGATAAAGTTCAGAAAATTTAGGTTTAAATTCCCAAAATCAAGCTGAATGTCTGATCATTCAGAACACACAAGGCTGAACCACTTCTAAAAACTCTTTAATAACATGTTTTATTTTATAAACATTTAATTATAAAACATCAAATGCCTATATCATTAAAGATGAAGCAATAAAATCAGAGCTGATTTGAAGGGAAAATAAACTCCTTGAACAGTTTGCTTTGTTTGGCATAAAAGACAAGCAGATGGTTTGGATAATGTTACATCTTGACTGGAAAAACAAAACAGCACAAATCTGGTTTTAGATCTGCGGACAAGAACTAAAGGTTGAGTATTCCTTGAAATACTCCATATTCCTCAATAAGGAATATTTGTAAATAAAACGTGCGAGTCTGATGCGATTTTACACGATATCTATCAGTGCTCAGAGTATGTGTTGAGGATGAGCTACTATCACACCAACTTTTATCTTGATATCTGTAAATTTGACTGTTATCACCATATTTATGCTGGATATTAACTGTGACAGGCATCTCAAATTAGACTTCAAGAGATAATCAGTTGTAGAGGTGCATCTAATCCTTTCTGAGTGTTTTATTAAATCCAACTGGTTCATGAGCTATGTTGCCAACAGACATGCAGACACAAGCAAAAACACTGTTATCCATAATGATGCAACTAAATTTCCCTTTAACTAAAACAATCTAAGTGAGAAAAATCACCTTTCCAGACTTTTTTTAATCAAACTGACTGCAGTCTTGGAGGATTATTATTATTATTATTATTATTATTATCTATAGTTAATTATCAAAAGTTGGGTCTTTGCAGATCTAAACTGTGAGAAGTTCTTCTAATTCAGTAGAACCTAACTTCTTTTCAGCTTTTTGAAAAGTCACACAAAAGAAACAGAGGACCCAGCTTCCTCTGAATGACTTATAGCAGAGGTGCCCAAAGTGGGGCCCGCGGGCCAAAATTGGCCCGCCGAGCCATTTGATTTGGCCCACCAGCAGTTAGATCGTAATTATGTTAAGATTAAATATAAAATACAAGTAACTACAAGAGACATTTAGATTAAAGCCTATAAATAAATTTGCACACCTTATAAGACCACATATACTCAAATTTTAAATTATGAAAAGTCCCATGAGTCTTTGTTGTCTTAGCATACGTTGAATTTTCTCCATGTCCATGGGCTGAAAAAAAAAACTACAGAATGTGGGCAACCACACTGGCTGGTTGTTTGAATAAAACAATTTAAGTATTTACATTTCTTATTTTATTGCATTTGGCCTGCGGCCCTCAGATTGATTTTAATTTTGGCCTTCTCTGGGAAAATATTTGGGCACTCCTGACTTATAGTTAACTGTGGGTTAGCTGCTCATGGACTGCCATCTACTGGACTAACATGAGACTGGAACTGCTGGGACTGAATGAATGAACTAATGAATGACTTGCACAAGAGAAAATACAGACACATTTAGATTTTTTTTAAATCCCACAGCTCCTTTGCCTGACATCACGTACATTATGACGTACTTCAAAATAAAACTATTATTGACGTCAGTAATTATTGTTTTATTGGGAGAGTTTATGTTTCTTAAATTACATTCATGGGTTTAAAAAGGGGAATTTTTTTACAGACAGGAACAAATGTGGGTTTTTCATAAAAGGAAGTGTCGTGAGGTTTTTTTTTTTTTCGTGCCTCTTTCATTGATTGCAGTTCGTGCCACATTATGTCACCATCCACCCTCCTCTCTTTATTTTTCCCACGATGACACATTTTCACAAGCTGACGGAGTTCAAACAAAAACAGCCTTAGTATTTTTTTTCTTTTGGTTGAAAGAAGAGGCAGAAAAATCTGTCGATCGTTAACAGCCTCGCTTTTATTTCTTTATATCTGGTGTCATTTTGATGTATTTAGGCATCGAGAGCATCAGGATTGTCATGGAGACTGTATCTGTGGCAAAAAGAAACATTTCTTTTTTTTATTTATTTACTGCAGCTTTCTGTATAAGGATGCACAGAAAAAGATGAGGACACCTCAGCTCACATTATAAACAAATGTTTTTGAGCTTTGTTATTTGTGAACACATTTTTTTGCAGATTATTGAAATGATTTGATGATATTACAAACTGTAGATGATGGGTTTTCAAAGTTCATCCCAATTTTCTGTTGAAGAAATTTATTTATTTTGCACTGTTTCAGTTTTTGCAGAGTGGTAAACCTCTGCCCATCTTTACTTCTACAAGAATCACGGGAAGAAAGTTGTGCCGTCAGAAACTGAATCTGAATCCTTCAGACTGAATTTAAAACTTCATGGATTGGTTTGAAAATAAATTTCACTAAACTAAGCTGAATTTAAAGYTTAGAAAACGAACTGATTTACTTTGAAGCTGTATTTTGTTGTATTAAAAATTCCATTTGACTACTTCAATTTCAATTCCAAATTCCAGTGCAATGAAATATAGTTTCAAAGCAAATTCATTGAAATTCAATTCATTAAATTATTTTTCAAACTAATGTATTTCAAACTACGCAAATACAGATTCAGTCCGAACAATTCAAACTAAGGTTCTGGCACAAATTTGTGTTGCTGTCAGAAACTTTAAAACTACCTTGTTTTTTGCCTAAAACGTGTATAATTTCTTAAACATTTCATATGTTTATTTTGATTGATTGATTGATTGATTGATTGATACTTTATTAATCAAGGCTTCCAGCACTGTACGTTTACAGGCAATAAAAATAAAAAAGTAGAATATACAGTACATAAAAACAAAAATAAACATACCCATATTGTATTTAGAGAGAGAAACTGCTCTAAATTGTCCAGGATTGTTAATAAAATGTAAGTTTATCAAATGAACAAATCATTTAATTCTGTTTTTGCAATGTTTTAAACAGCTTTTTGGGGATTGGGGCTGTTAGAGCAGATACTGACAGTCTAATGAAAATCCTCCACACGGTATTTTGATCCCTTTTTGAGAGTTCCTGACATCAGTGGGTTTTGGCTGATAAATGCAGAACTTCCTGTGCCCACATCTGTCTCTCATCAGAGTGACCTGCAACATCTCTGCAGCACAAGGGGTCACTCAGAGAGGCTTGTCAGCACGTTCACATAACGCTCCCCTCTGTGGAAGCTTATACCCCCATCAAGACGTCCACACAGAGTCTCGCAGTGTATCTGAGTCGTGTGTGTCGTTGACACAATGAATCTAAAGTCCAGCTTCCTGTGTTTGAATCTGTGTGAAACTCCTGCTGTCCTCCGTCTGTCCCCGGCTGCCCGAAGGACTCAGAAATCCCCTTTCATCGGAAACTAAATGAACTTGGCTCCACCTGGATGTTGGTTTTGGCTTTCCCACCAAGGTCATCCTCACTTTGGAGTTTGCTGAGCAACCCCGCCCCTGCCTAACCCCGAGAAGATGAAGAGCACTCGGATTGAACAGCTTCGTTTTTTGTTTTAATGTCTCAGTTCTTCTTTGAAAGGTTTACTCAGAAATAAAAATGATTTGGCATAAATGCAATAAAAAGGTCTCAGTTGCCATGGCAGCCTCTGCTGGGCAGATGCAGTCCTAAAAACTGTGAGAAACACAGAAAACCAAACAAAAGATTAAATGTTTTCAGCCAATCATGCATTAAATGTCAGTATTTATAATGTCTGTAGAGCTCCTGAGACAACACATGCATGACGTTACACCTGATTCTTACTCTGTCATGCAAACGTCCTGCTGATACCTGCTGAATCAGTCTTTGTTTGKTTAAAACCAATGGATCACTGAACCAAACTAATCGATTGCTAGGAAGAATCCTTATGTTAACTAGTCAGGTTGACTAGTGTATGTAAAATGTTGATGAGTTTCCTATAAGATTTTGGCTATACTTATTAGGCAAACTAGTTAATAAGCATTGCTACAAAAGCTTTAAATATTCAACTGTGAACATTTTTGAGGTTACTAGTCAATAGGTAAGGTCAAATTTAGTCTCACTAGTTTACTAGAGAAATCTAAAAGTTTAACTAGTTCAAGTAAACTGCTCATTAGTCAACTAGTTAAAAATGCTGTCCATATAATTTAACTAGAATGGCAAAAAATCTGTAACTTGTTTTGTCTAAAGAGTTAACTAGCTAAGTTGTAAGGTCAGTTGTAAAGTTAGCTAGTTGATCTAGTTAACTAGTGGCATTAAATCTAACCTTACTGGATGAATAGTAGTCCCCAAAATGCTCATCGTGTTACGAATCTCAGGCAGGAATGAACCCATGATGCAGGCAGTTGCAAAGCTCCAAAAAACAAAGAATTTATTTAAACAAAAAGGTGCTGACTGGGCAGCTCAAAAAAAAACTCTGAGTGGCGTGGCAAGACAGGACAAGGCACAATACTGAACATAACCAAACAATGACCCGACAGGGAARTGAAGACAAGACACAGAATATAAAGGTGAGACTAATGAGCACAAACAGGGAACACCTGGGGGAGAAACATGAGGAGCAGGTGTGAGTGGGCGGGGCTGGAGCAAAGGCAGACAGGAGGAAGAAAACAGAGGAACATGACAGAACAATCAGAGTAAAGTCAAAATAAAAACATGAAACCAGATGAAACATAACACATCGGTTGACTAGTGACATTTGGCTTTACTAGATGGGAAAAGCAAGCTCTGATGTCCATTACAGGGACAGCACCGAGCCATTGGTTCAGGTATGTTGATGACACCTGGGTTAAAATTAAATCCCAGGAGGTCCAACATTTCACTGATCACATCAACTCTGTGGTTAAATACATAAAGTTCACATGAGAGGATGTAAAAGATGGCAGGTTGGTGTTCCTAGACTGTAATGTCTCAGTTTTGTATGGAGGACGGTTGGAAACTGATGTGTATCGCAAACCCACCCATACAGACCAGTATTTGCGTTTTGATTCCCATCACCCACTGGAGCACAAGTTAGGAGTCATCAGGACTCTGTACCACAGAGCAGACAGTGTCTCTACAAACACAGGAGCCAGGCAGAAAGAGAAATCACACACACGACAG